TACAGCACAGTACAGCTGAAACTGCGGGAGGAGGGAGCTGTTTCGGCGTCTCCTATCGATCACGTGATTGATTATTGTTGATTTTTGTTTCTGGCTGCCTTTGCAAATGCTCATGCGCACGCAGCTCATCAGACAGAGAGTACAGTACAACCGATTTAGCCGCCTCGTGGGTCGTTCACGAAGGCATTGGTCTCACATTCGAACGACACGGCCCTCCACCAAACGAGAATGTCGCGTCATATAACAGTGGGCGACATATTTTTACTGATGCAAGTAAATCGTAGTCGATTTTTTTTTTTGTGGGGGTCAGGATGGAAAATCTGGTTGATGTGGCAAAAAATGACATCAAATTCTCCAGTGCGCAAAGAAAGGGGGTAGATGGAGTTACAGGGGAGGACAAAAGCTCAGAGGGTCTTCTCAGGTCTTCCACTTACCGGCGAGCGTATTGTCATGTTAATAACAGCCGCCGGCCCATTTAGTGTAACGGAGAAGAGCGCTTCTGAAGTCGATGGTTGAAATAAGGACCTCGAGGAGGCGGCTCTTCGCTGTAATGAGAGCGCTCGTTTCTGAGTCTCTCCCCTTGTGAATAATGTTGAGACTGCAGAGTTCTCCAGCTTTTGATGTTCAGTCCGTTTTACCACCGCCACGTCTCGAAAACAAAATAACTCGGGGCTCAATGTTACGTCCGTTTTACCACCGCCACGTCTCGAAAACAAAATGAACGACTTAAGTTACTCACAGAATGTTTGGAAAAACTGAAATATGAATTCGAAATTGCTGCGCATTTTCTGTCATCGTAGCTCCCTGCGAGCGTTCCAATACTGACGTTGAATACAGCAGCTCAACAAGTGGCGGTTACACTCATCTTATTTCTTCGGCTAGAAGCGCCGAGTGGGTGTCAGCCGTCCCTTCGAAATGCCCATTCTGTCGGATCTCGGAGTTTGGAATTGCTGCGCATTTTCTATCATCGTGGCTCCCTGCGAGCGTTCCAATACTGACGTTTACGTATTGAATACAGCAGCTCAACAAGTGGCCGTTACACTCATCTTATTTCTTCGGCTAGAAGCGCAGAGTGGGTGTCAGCCATCCCTTCGAAATGCCCATTCTGTCGGATCTCGGAGTAAAAGAGGCCGAGGTGTCTGTCCCGAGAGGGATAAAGTAGAGTGCCTCTAGTGTATGAGAGTAGAAATCCTGCAAAAAACGGCACATGGCGTTGGCATGTTCCCTTGTAAACAGGACAGCATCTCATCGCACTCTTATGAATGGCTTCGTATCGCTTCCTCCAAAAAAGCCTCGAGCTGAAGGAGAAAGTGGCATTCGACCATATGCTTGCACAAAACCACCATATGCCCCACTAGTTAATTCATGTTGTAAAGGGCCACGCAGTTTCGTTTTTTTTTTTTTTTTTTTAGCAGCTCAACAAGTGGCGGTTACACTCATCTTATTTCTTCGGCTAGAAGCGCCGAGTGGGTGTCAGCCGTCCCTTCGAAATGCCCATTCTGTCGGATCTCGGAGTAAAAGAGGCTGAGGTGTCTGTCCCGAGAGGACAAAGTAGAGTGCCTCTAGTGTATGAGAGTAGAGATCCTGAAAAAAACGGCACATGGCATTGGCATGTTCCCTTGTAAACAGGACAGCATCTCATCGAGGTGTCTGTCCCGAGAGGGATAAAGTAGAGTGCCTCTAGTGTATGAGAGTAGAAATCCTGCAAAAAACGGCACATGGCGTTGGCATGTTCCCTTGTAAACAGGACAGCATCTCATCGCACTCTTATGAATGGCTTCGTATCGCTTCCTCCAAAAAAGCCTCGAGCTGAAGGAGAAAGTGGCATTCGACCATATGCTTGCACAAAACCACCATATGCCCCACTAGTTAATTCATGTTGTAAAGGGCCACGCAGTTTCGTTTTTTTTTTTTTTTTGAAAGCATCTCAACATATCAGCCAACACGATTGAATGTTTTGTCCAGCTCTCGACATTTAAAGTCATGTGATTCTGTGAAGCGTGGACCCGTTGTTCTCTGGTCAGACTTGACAGATTTAATGCGTGTTCCCGAGATGCCGTCGGGGGTGATAAAGGGTCAACTGCTGGTAAATTTGGGATAAAATTAGGATTTTGCTGGGCTGCGCTCAGTGGAATGGACAGATGGAAGATGGGCTCCCACGGAGTCAAGACCTGCTACAAATAGCCGTGTGCACACACACACACACACACACACACATCCAAGCGTGAAAGTTTGAGCACCCACACCAACAAGTCGGTGAAACTCCACGGCACACTTCCAGATGATACCATTCTTTTACGATTGAATGCAGTGGTAAGGAAAATCAGTCATAAAGAGGAGTCATGTCCAGCGGCTCACAATTTAAGTGCGATCGAGTTGAATATGTCAGAACGTGATCTGGTTCTTGTTGATGCAGGGTTCATTTAGCAACGCACGCCTCTTGGAACCGATATTGGGTTCGACGACTGCTCACTGTGCGTGATTGTACCAATCTGCAAATAAAGCGAAGCCGGCGTCTGAAAACGTCTGGCCTGTTGATTGAGTCGAGCGGCTGCTCCAGTCAGGATTAGTTGTGAGCGGAGAGTAGGGCGGCTACGGGACACCGGGTCCCGGGCCAAGTCATGTTGAACACCCGCAGGGTATCAGTGATAGGTGCAAAAGTGATATCGTGAACAATGCTCATCCGCCCTCGCGTCACCCCATAGTAGGTAATGAAACTCTTGTCAAGCCATTTTACACCACGTCATTTAAAACCACTCAATTCTTTTCCTCCGGGAAGTTTTAAGGAATTGCCTTACCTTTTCTTTATCTACCATCACGCTGAATATCACTCTGTGTTGCCCAGAGCGAGCGTGGCAGAAATCACAATTCACAAAACACAAAGTGTCATTTTCATTCTCATTCAACATCCAACAAAATGTATCTTGGCCACTTCCTTGGTTTTGTTGAAGATTTCATCAACAGGCAGCTGGGCTCAAGAACAAGAGGCCCGCTTCACAACTCTCTGTCCCTGCCAGTGTGAGTACAACGATATCACATTCCTAATCCCTGCTGACGTGAAGTTAAAAGAAAAAAAAAAAAAAACAGCAATGGTACAAAAGTCCCGAAAATAACCAACAGACATGGAGCTGAGAGATGAGTGAACTGGGCTTTTTGGTCGAATGTTTGGCCAAAAAGCAACAAAGGAGACTTCTACTCCATCCACCCAGATTAAAACAAGGTGTACTTTCACAAGAACGAGGCAAGCGATCCATCTGCCACAGTGGGGGTTATGCAAAATAGATTTTTTTTCTAAATCATTCTCAAAAGCACTTCAGAAGTGAAATGACACTGGCATCCAATTAGCAAACAATCACCCCAGAAAAGGGGACTTGCTGGACATCTGAGAGTGCTATTCAGTAGTTCTGGGTCTCTTCTTCAAACATAAATATAAAGTATCGAGAAACAAATCTCTGGATTCTCTTTATGGGGCCTTTAAAAAAACCAATGCCCGCAAACGTCTGCTTCGGAGCTCGACTCAATCGCAATGTCAGAGTCCCGATTTGAATTTTGTGACCAGCAGCCCCTCCTTTTCCCCCAATTGGTCTGAAAATAGTCAAAATGTGTGATACCTGTAGCCATGGCAGCGACAGTGATTCCCACTTAGCCATCTCCGTAGGAGGCAAAACCCTCTCATTGAGACGCAGACATGCATATGCGTGCTGCCACCTGTGAATATGGCACACTTACATAACAAGGTCCGGAGTGGGGATAAAGAGGACCTTGTGATCTACTGTTCTCCGCGCTCGCAGCGCCAACAGCGTGCAAGGCCTACAATCGGCAAAAAGCTACACAATACCTGTTGCCGACACCGACCGGAGAGGCGCTTCCAGGGGTCTCTTTGAGCTCCCATTAGTTGATGTCCTCGGGCCCAAAACACAATGGCCGGGTGATGATCACACACAGGCTATTGCAAATCGCCCCGCACAAGTCTGAAATCAGTGGCAGAGAGCACGCAAAGTGAGGGAGAAAAGGGGGGCGGGGGGGGGTTGGGGTGAAAAGAAACCCGATGTTTTCCTCCGCTGATGAATCATTAGTGATAAAGCTGAGGCTGAGCCACCAGAGCTGGATTTAGAAACCTCACATTCATTCAACACTCTCCTTTTCGTTCTCACTGTCCTGACTGATGACTTGCCCTCTGAAGCGCTGAGGATGTCATACTTTGCTAAGTGCTACACACAAGGGAATCGGGCTACATGTAGAAGTCAGCTTCTGTGCAACACAGAGACAATTACGGGAGTTAAGGGAACTCTTCTCTCCAGGGTCAAAACGTGAGCCCTGTTGGCAAGATGTAAAAAAATACCTGAGAGCCATTGTCGGAAAAAAGCAGTCGCTTTAGGGGTACGGAGCGTCAGAGCGCCTCGTTGTTGCGTCTTGGAAAAGCTCCATGAGGACCCAGTCACCGGATACTGGAAGCGGCTAAGTCAACACATTGGATGCCCAGTTGAGAGTTGAGCGGGGCGCGGTTTCAGTGTACAGTCTTTGAGAACAGAAACAGCATTTACAATTTTTTTAATGATTTTCAAGCCTCATTTCGTGTACTTGCCGATTTGTTTTTTTTTTTGAAATAATTCTCGAAATATACGGACAGACACACATCTGTTTATCCTGCATCACTCTATCCTGAGCCTGCTACGCCTCAAGCACCACGTGTCCGTCCACATTCACATTCAGCAACTATTACAACTAATGCTGCGCGTGACAGGTGCTTCACCCAAAGAGAGAAGGTTGAATAAGCTCTTTTCCAGCTCGGCGCGATAACAGGACTTAACTCGGAGGAGAAGCAGAGCAGATGGGCTTAGCAAAGATGGTACTCTCCATTTGATGTGGGAAGTCTTTGTTTCGCGGGCCTCCGTTGTCTGAGTGATGCATCAAGTTGCTGTCAACTGGTAGTGCCGTGATGTAGGAAGGGAGGACGGGAGAAAAAAAGAAGGGGGTCGGGGTGTGGGGAGAAGGAGAGAGGGAGAGAGGGAGAGCGGCGGTCCAACGAGATCAGATTGCAAAGATTGATCGAGAGACGTGTTCACTTAATAAGCAGTGAGGAACTCCTTGACAGTTTCGAAGGAACTGTCAAGGATTGTCTCCATGTCGTAGAAGTTGAAGTGAAGCATTTGCTGGATATACAAGCCTTTTTTTTTTTTTTAATACTCGGATACTGTTCCCCCCCCCCACACCCAAGATTGACTGAGTGGATTTTCCTTCACCGAGATTCTCTGCCTTGCGACCAAGCAAGGATGAAGACCTGTAAAGGGAGCCCGAGCCTTCTGATGCTAAGGATGATGTGGTGCTTGACTGAGGAAGTGGACTGAAGCAAAAGACCGAAGAGCTCAGTTCAGCGATGCCTCAGTTCGGCTGACACGGATGCTGCAAGAGCAGAGAGAGAGCGCGTCTTTGGGTCCTGCGTGCAGCCCGGCAGAAGACGGATGAAACGAAAGGTAAGAATTCCCGACTAACCTGCAAGCGCCGGCTATAAAACTGTACACGCAACAGTCAAATAAACCCAACTGCACCGCGGCCATGAATGATGTGCTTGCACGGAGCGCTTGATAGCACCTTGCCCATTTCGATTTGTATTTAGGCAAGAGATGAATGTTATTCGAGGCCTCGCCTCGATTTGCGTGCTACTTTGTTGAAGCCAATACAGAATAACCGGGCTGCAATAGCTCTTATTTGACTTTATCATCATTGCCGGCGCAGAAGTCAAGCTGCGGCTCTTGTTAGTGGATCAAGACAGAGTGTGGAGGTGTACCTCCCATGCTGGCCAGTAATTAAGCCGAAATCGTTGAGTTTACAGGGAACAAATAAGCTGAAAAATGGAGCCACGGGTTCCCAGCAGAAGCATTTTAGGTACTCATCTCTTTCAAGCGATGAAATGCAACAACTTGTGTAACACCGCTGAGAGCCGAGTGTGTGGACGCGTGTGTGTGTGTATTCTTCCATCGCCGCATAAACAAAGCCGAAAGAGACAGCGGACGAAGCAAATGAAATACCCAAAATGCAGCACGCCATGACAGTTTCATGAGCTCATCCCGCTTTTCATCTCTGCTTTGTTCGCGCCACTCACTTTGAGTGGCCGAAGTGGGTTTGGAGCCGGCCAAGAGGTCGTTTTATTCGTCCCGTTTGGGAGTGAATCATCTGATGGAGAGGATTTAAAATGTACAAAATAAAGAGCTTGTGCAATGTACGTGGGAATGACCGCTGAAGGAGAGTCAGGTGTCGAAAAGGCTGAACATGTGCAGCTTGCAAAATAAAAAACGAAAACAACATACAATTTAACAGCTGCTGCAATGACGCGAGGTGACTCGCTTCTACATGAACTCTTCTCACGAGCACCTCTCTTAGGGGCCACCCGTGATGAAACCCCAACAGAGGGGAGGAGTCAGTCACACGTGCTTTCAAAAAAGGAATCACCCGCATGCAAAATAGCGAGCCGCTTCCATCCATCTTCGACGTACGGACGGCATACGTGCGTGTTCAAGCGGTGTTGCTTTCTATAGGAAAATACCCGCAGGTCACTTGAGAGGAGATGAAGTTGCACAATTGCAAAATCCAATGACACCTGAGCGCGGGGCTCTTCCTTCAACAATGGCCTCGGGAGGTGGCGAGCCGTCGCGGAGGCTCAGCTCAGTTTTCCCCCGCGTGCTCGCTCGCCATCACATCAAGTGTCCTCTCCCACTCCGCTTCATTATCCTCCCAATCGCCGCCATTGTTGTGAGCATCCAATCATGCGTTCTCTTCACCCTAATCAGCGGTCTCGGCTGCCCCCTCTCTCAAGGCCCCCCCGAGGAACAGGCTTGGCAGACTCAAAGACACGCGCAGCCCGGATAATTTGTCCTCCCACACGAGTCAGTGGTCCACCGCAGTAGGTGCAGCAAGCTGACCAAAAAAAAAGAAAAAAAGATGATTTATGAATGCCACGTAAACACACGGACAACAGATTATTTGACCAATACCGTCGGTTTTTGTTCCATGATCTATGCCAGCGACGTCTAGTGAAGAGGCGGAACAGTTAAATGCTCTCCCACGAGATGGCGGATTTTATAGAACTGATTTCTATTCCGGAGCAGTGTCCGTGGCTTATGTCAAACATTTGCACGAGGTCAAATCCAAGTCATGAGTTGGACCTCTTGCACGACGTCCACTCTGCTGACGCCCTCGCGTTTACAGCACTACAGGTGGTCTGGCGCATCGGTAGAGATGAGAGAAGTACTTCTCGAATGATTCCGAGGACTCCTGCGGGGTTTTTATTTACGTTCTAGCAACACGCTGGACACCCGACACTGCGTGACTATGATCGAGTGATCACGGACGGAGTTGAAGGGCTACTAAAGGGCAGCTCAGATCATGAATATGTCTCAGGCGAAGTCGCAGTCGTCAGGGTCACCGTATCAGCAAGCACTTTTCAGCGGTGCTTTTTGGGAACGCGTGAGGAAAAAAAATTATCTTTTGCGACAGAACCCGATACGCGTCGAAGTACGCCCCTTTGGAGACGCTTGCGAATGAGGCAATACGGCACCAGATTCAGGCAACTTCGGCCCAGGGCCGGGCGGCCGGGCATGTGGGATTTGGGAGTGCGCATGAGTGATCTGTCAAGTCTTCAGGGCCCGAATCAGGCAGACGCACACTGAGCGGCCGCGGCCAAGCGATAAAGGCTGTCTATGCCCAGAGGGGGCCACAGTCCGGTCCCTCATGGGCAAGAAGCCCTTGACCCAAGTTCAAAATCCAGCATGATATCCGGGGTCATCTGTTGTCATTCCAACACATCGCAAAGCATGCGCCTCTGCCCGGTAGGACTCTTTAAGAACTAAACTCATTCAGGTTATGGAGCAAAGCACCACGGGAGGCTGATATAAACGTAACGCATCCTTCCCAAAAAATGATGACGACGTTAAGTCGTACGCAACGGGGTCAAACAGAGTCCCGCTGCCTCCATCCCAGCATGCAGCATCTGCTACCGCGTGTCCGTGGAAGAAGTGGCACACACAGAGGCCCACTGGGAGTTAGCGTAAGTGTGCACAGACGCACGGCGTCGCCGACTCCCGGACTAAAGTATTCTGCTGAAAGGACAAAAGACAATTTGGGCCACAAAAGAACAGAATTGGAGGCTTTCCTGCCGCATTTGTCACATCGGCACGGCATGCAGCTGATACACCATAAATACAACCGAGACAAAGTGAATAAGGACAATTGATAGATGCGGCATTCACTTTTTGGCTCAAGACATGACAGCCTGTCACATTTTGTGACTCCTAAGCAGACACCAGTGCTGGTTGTCGCATCACATTTGGTGGGAGACAACTCGGAACGCCTCTTTCTCGAAGGCTCGATGCATTTTCCATGCACTGACAATCTCGTCCTTCTCGTTCTAGGGACTGGATTCAAGCACAAGGATCCCTCCCAGCTACCCGTCGAAGGCCTACTAAGATGCAACTTTACAAGTGATCAAGCTACGAGGGGTCTCGATCACCCGCCGGGACTCTATGGCCAGCCTTTCTGCTCCGATCCCGCAGCGGGAGGCGCCGGCAGCATGAGCGGGGGAAGGATCAACCGCTACAGCATCGTGTCGTCCGAGGAAGAGGGCCTCCGTCTCACGACCATGCACGGTATGAACGGTTTTGGCAACGGCAAGATCCACACGCGGCGCAAGTGTCGCAGCCGCTTTGTCAAAAAGAATGGCCAGTGCAACGTGCAGTTTGCCAACATGGACGACAAGTCGCAGCGCTACATGGCGGACATCTTCACCACCTGCGTGGATATTCGCTGGCGATGGATGCTGGTGCTCTTCAGCCTTGTGTTTGTCATTTCCTGGCTGGCCTTTGGCCTTGCCTTCTGGGTCATCGCCTTGCTGCACGGGGATCTGGATAACCCGGCCGGAGATGACAACTTCACGCCCTGCGTGCTCCAAGTCAACGGATTCGTGGCCGCCTTCCTCTTCTCCATTGAGACGCAGTCCACCATCGGCTACGGCTACCGCTGCGTCACCGAGGAGTGCCCCGTCGCCGTCTTCATGGTGGTTTTCCAGTCTATCGTGGGCTGCATCATTGACTGCTTCATGATCGGCGCCATCATGGCCAAGATGGCCAGGCCGAAGAAGCGAGCGCAAACGCTGCTGTTTAGCCACAACGCCGTCATTGCGATGCGGGATGGGAAACTGTGTCTCATGTGGCGGGTGGGAAACCTTCGCAAGAGCCACATTGTGGAGGCCCACGTCAGGGCACAGCTCATCAAGCCTCGCATCACCGACGAAGGAGAGTATATCCCCCTGGACCAAATAGACATCGACGTGGGCTTTGACAAGGGCCTGGATCGGATTTTTTTGGTTTCCCCCATTACGATTCTCCATGAGATCGATGAGGAGAGCCCCCTTTTTGGGATCGGCAAGCAGGACCTCGAGACGTCCGACTTTGAGATTGTGGTGATCTTGGAGGGAATGGTGGAAGCGACGGCCATGACCACTCAGGCGCGCAGTTCCTACTTAGCCTCCGAGATCCTTTGGGGACACAGGTTCGAGCCTGTCTTGTTCGAGGAGAAGAACCTCTACAAGGTGGATTACGCTCACTTTCACAAAACTTACGAGGTGCCGTCCACCCCCCGATGCAGTGCCAAGGACATGCTGGAGAACAAATTCCTTGTCCCCAGTTCGAACTCCTTCTGCTATGAAAATGAGCTGGCTTTCCTCAACCGTGAGGAGGAGGAAGAGGAGGAGGAGGAGGATGAGCAGGAGGGCGGAGGTGCTGGGAACATGACACTGGCAAACCTCAGTCCGGACCGGAACAGCCGACACGAGTTTGAACGCTTGCAGGCCAGCAGGACGCTGGAGCAGAGGTCTTATCGGAGAGAGTCCGAAATATGAAACCTTCTTCTAGGTCCAGGCTCCCTTGTCGGAGACTCCACAAATGCAGAACGATGCAAAGTGCCATAGGAGACATTGACGCGTGTGCTCGATTGAGAGAAAAAGGGACAACGTGGGAGTGAACGTGGCAAGCTCAGAGAATGCACCTGAGAAAATCGTAGTAAGGAATGTCCACAATAATACATACAGATCCTTCGTGGAAACTTGAATCTTTTTTCACGTGGTCACTTTGAGCGTGTTAACAATTCTAATGAGCAATGACAAACTGACATCATTGAATTGAAGGTGTAAATACGTTTCTTTCGTTATGCTATCGTTTGTGTGCCGTCTCGGTTTCTAAAAGCAGCTGTTGTCAAAGTAGATTGCGCTCCGTCAACTTTTTTTTCACCCCTCTCCGCACAATATTCTTATCGTTTGCATCGTGTAATAGAGATAAGTTCAGTGACACAGTTCAAAGTTTGCGCACTGCTGCATTGAGATGATATGAGCCATAAAAAAAAAAAAAATGATCACAAGCCACTGAGAACATTCCAAGTTGTGATCCGACCAGCATCACGTGAGAAGGCAACATTCATTATGTGCACTGTAAAGGGATGAGAAAAGAAAAAGAAAAAAAAAAAAAGAAAAAACTTGACAGAACTCCAATGCAACCTGCAATGAGACTAGTCGGGGATGTGGTTATCTCAACTCTTAACCCCAAATAAGCACCTTAACGTGTCGTTTGTACTTTCATTTTCAGCATAAACTGATACGCTGAACAAAATAAAATCAGTTTAATTTTGGAAGCTTCACAACAGCTAAAACCATAACAAATAAACACCTTTTTTTTTCATGACCGTAATCTTTGCATACTTTCCAAAATGCCACGCAATACGTGATCTTAAAATTATTCAGTGAATTCAAAAATAGCTCAAATATAATTGTTGACCTTTTCATATAAGAGCATCACATTTGATCAATATGCTAACGCGGGAAATGTATTGGACCAAAGCCTGGATAGAAGCAATAAAAACTGAAGCACAGCTTTGATTTTGTTTCCTCACTGCTTCTTTTAAACATTGTGAATATGAAAACACACGACTTTGGATGATTCTAGAACAGCATGCCAATAACGTTGGTATTTCTGAAGAAACGATGACAGGTTTACACCACACTTTAAATGCAATACGCTGCTATGTATGCATTATAAATAACGACATTCACGAAAGAAGCTCGGTAGAAAGAAACCCCAATCAGCAAAATAACAGGAAAGACAATTTTTACATGTGGATACAAATGTACCTGGCATTAGAAACTAGCTTTCCAAACCAACCTTGTGATGTTTCGTTTGCGTGCAGGCCAATGAGATGAAAAGTATTTCATACGAATATATTTGATATACGTGTGGAATTGAACGCTCAGGAAAGGACCGTGAGAAAGGTGTCACGTCGATCAGAATGTTTGCCTTTTTATTTCTTGTCACGTTGAACCCCTTTACAGTTACTTCGATTCCTGACATTTATTGCTCAAATGTTCACTTTCTTTGTAGTTGTTATTTCAAGACATGAAGTATGATACAAAGAGTACTTTTTTTTTTTTTTTTTTTTGGAGAACAAGCGCTCATTGCCTTCTGGGAAGGATTTAAATGCTGATGTTTCTCCACACCCGATCACAATTATTTACTGGTTTTAGGTGAAGTGTCACAAAAGGTTCTTTGCTGCACTTCTGCATTCACTTCAAATAATACTACCTTCACTTTTTTGTCCGATTATTTTGTTATTTTATGTTAACTGTTGTGTAAAAAAAAAAAAAAAAAAAGTGTTTTAATTAATTATCTTAAGTGTGCCTGCGATTGGCTGGCAACCGGTTGTGGGGGTCCCCCGCCTACTGCCCGAAGACAGTTGAGATAGGTTCCAGCACCCCCCGTGACCCTCGTGAGGATAAGCAGATCGGGTGATGAATGGATCTTAAGTGTAAAAATACGGTAACATGATAGAATTGGCTAAATAAAGCAGCTTATTTTTTATACACAAAATTCTTTGTGATAAAACGCAGTTCTCTGTTTTATCGGAATTCAACAATGATTCTCTATTCTCTAAATGTGGAATCGATGTTTTTCTTTTTTTTTTCCATTTTCTTTTGCTCGTTTAAGTTCCATTTCGCACATTTCAGAGTGGTATTTCTCTTAAAGGGATGATTGGAAAATAACTTTGACCTCTGTAGAAGTCTTCCTAAATGCCCGGTAAATTGTCTACTGGGCTTTTCATTTTCATTCAGTCACATAAGTAATTCAAATAAAATAAAGTCCACAAAATAACAGTTTGCTGTTTGTGTGTTTCTTTTGTTGACTGCAAGTTCCCGGCCTAACTACTAATCAATGGTTGAAATGGTTGCTAAGGTAATACATCACCATGAAGGGTGCCTGCCTTAAGTCGAGAGCAAGATTCATGTCACCGCAGCCAAATGATTCCACGGTCTCGGGCCAATTATTCAAGAAGGCTCATTCATTAATCACGATGACAGACAAGCAACCCGCGAAGCCACGGGCCTTTTGGCCAAAGATGAACTCGACAAGAGGATTCGATCAGATCAATGGGTGAATTTTTTTTTTCCACCCCCAAGCATCAAATTCTGTTTCGATAGTCCAACATGTTTGCTGAATACATGCGCATGTACCGGTAGAGGCAAAAAAAAAAATCCTAACATGTTATTTATCAATGATAAATATTCCCAAACTATTTGCATGGGATCGGTTGTTGTTCAGCGACTCGGGTTGCGGTGAGAAAGTTGCCCACGCACAGCTAGTGACAGATGTTGCTTTATCATACTGGCCACGGGCCGCGGCTGCGATCGGGTCTCAGGATGGAAACACAATGGGAGCATGCAGGCCTCGTTGAAGCCTTGTGCCCAGTTGCATTATGTAACACTTCAGGACAGTGACGACAAGAGCAGCTTCTTTTTGGATTAATGGCGTTAATGAGCACCAACTCTGCGATAGCGTCACAGATTTTCAGATCACCGTCGAGGAAAACTCGGCTTTGAAAATGAGCCGACTTTTAATCGCCTGCTGTGTGATATGACAGTGGTGGTTTAGCATCACAGTAGGATTAGACACCGAGAGGTTCCGGACAATCAAGGGCATGTTGAGATAAACTACCCACAAACTGAGATCCAGATGGATAACAGAGAATGTTATTTCTTGTTCGGCCGCGGCTTTTCACAGATGTTATGAATATTAGAAATGCACGGAGTGGGCCGTACGTCCGCGGTAATGTGAGTCCGTGTGAGAAAATGAGCCCTGGGAGCCTGTTTTTGGAATCGAATTCTTTCAGTTATCTGTCTTAAACTGTCTACTGCATTTTATATTATATTGAAACATGCATGTTAGTGCACAGTGACTTTACTAATACCTCAAGTTCACAGACTCTCTCTCTCTTTTTCTGTGGCACCAGTCTGCAGCATCGCATATTTGACTGGAAATGCTCAGTTTTTCTGCAAAAAACAGATATGATTTTTAATGTTAATGTTAATTATGCAATGGTGAATTTTGGAACTACAATCTCACGGGAATGTCCCTTCTGCAATTCCCAGAGAACAGCCAGCTGTGTTCAGTACACACAGACATACACACGCCTTTCCTCTAATACTCGAAAAAAAAAAAAAAAACAAGAACACCTAACAAAGCTGGAGCCAGCAAAAAAAAAAAAAAAAACATTGGAAATATGGGTTTATGCTGATAAACCTTTTGTTAGCAAATATATAGCCAGCAAACTGACTAAATACCAATTTGAAAGACAAAGTTGTCAGCTCATCTGCAAGTGACTGTGACCTGATTTTCCATGATGAGAACTTACTTTGAAGGAGGGGGTTGGTCCGACTTTATTTAGGATCCTCTCTGCTCAGGCAGGTGTCTCGATTGTATCCAGGTTGATTCGCAAAGTGACATGAATGGACAACCTGAGGGGGCCTGCTCTCATTTCCGTATTCCTAACCATAGATCATTACCTCGCCTGAAGGCCCCTGATAGATGGCTTATTCGCTAAATATAAATGGATATAAAAATAAAGTGAAATACAATGTTTGGAAAATCCCAAAAGAGCTCCACTGGACAGTAAATACAAATCAAGAAAAGTCATGAGCCACGGTTTCGATTTACCTTTCATAAAGATGATCCTCATCGGGGCCAAATGTACAGATTGATGCTCACAATTGAGTTTCTTCTTAAGGGTTTCTTCATTTGATTGCAACCTATTGTGTGCTTGGCTCGAAATGTAGCAGTGAATCTTATACTGTAGGCCTCCAAACACCAGTAAAATAAACACCGCTCAAGAAATGTACAGTTGCAAGAAAATGTGAACCCTTTAGAATTACACTACTTGGATTTCTGCATATATTGGCCATGAAAATTTTTCCCTCATTAAGTGACAGCAGTAGATCTGCCTAAATTAATACCATACATACAATCGCTGCACGTTTTTGTGTTTTTACTGAACATACCAGGTGCTGAAAAAGTAAAAATTCCACATGCGATTCTCATGTGGGTCACTGAATCACTGTCCAAGTACCGTTCAGTTGCATTGAATTTAGGTTGCTTTATAAATTTAAGAAATGTTGGTTTTGCATTTATCAAGGTAAATTCGTATTTAACTGGAGTGGTCCAGTCAGAGTCCTGACCTCAATCTAATTGAGACGCTGCAGCATGACCCCTAGAGAATGATTCAAACCGCACGTCAAAAAATATGACTCAGCTGGATGTTTCATACAATCCCACATTTTTCCTAACCTGCAACACTAAACACATTTACATCACATTTGGTAAATTATTCGCGTGCTGTGAACATTTTCACGTGTGCTTCATTTGTGCTGACGTAAGCTTTAATCAACAAAAGTGCATCTGTCCAAAGCGTGAGAATGGACACAGAGATGGCTTAACAGGTTCCCCTGTCAGCACCCTTCTCAAATTCATCTCCCAGTGGAAGGAAAAGAGATAAGATAAGACATCTCCGAACAGCCCAACGGCCCGCCATGGCCTACCTGCCTGCACCGTGCCAAGACACAGGGGTCATCTCCTGCCAGCAGGACGTCTCCAGTGTCAGGCAGAATGGACGCCTTTGTTGTCTTCATGGGACCTCCAAGTGCCTCCAGTGGTGTCTCTGTTCTGAATAGAGCACAATGTCCCTTTATCAACGATGATGCACACCCGAGAGCAAACAGAGACAGTGAACCTTTATTGTAGAACAACTTATTCAAATACAACTTGTGGATGTCGAAGCAGTACATTTTACGTCATTTGGTGTCATGATCAAGTATCATTTGGAGAAAAGATTCATTGAAAATATCTCGGGTGATTGAAAAGCAACTCACAACTTTAAAAATCATACTTACAAATTATTTACTTTCAGTAAACTATGAGAATTTAACCGCAATTGCATTCTCCCGTTTTTTGTGTATGTTTGTACTTGCATAAGAATGAACAACCGTGTGGTGTGGGATGATTGACCGATTGAGTGAAGGATGATTTTCAGTGGCAGGACCTCACCTTAGCCTCGCTCTTTGCTCACCATGCATACCACCACATGCACTCTCCATTCGAGCAGTTTCTTTCCACTTCTCTGCCCGAAGC